CTTTTCAGATGACTTGCTAGTTTGAATTGTTTCTTGCATATATTACATTCATACTGACGTACACCACTGTGTATCAACATGTGTTGTTTCAGATGACTTACTACTTGGAATTGTTTCTTGCATATATTGCATTCGTGGGGTGGGGACGTTCACCACTGTGAATGAGCATGTGTGTCTTTAGATGACCTGATACTGTGAATGTCTTTTTGCATATACTGCATTCATGGGGACGCTCACCACTATGAATGAGCATGTGAATTTTTAGAGTACTTAATTGATTGAATGACTTCTTGCATATGTTGCATTCATGGGGGCGCTCCCCACTGTGAATGAGCATGTGTCTCTTCAGATGACCTGATACTGTGAATGTCTTTTGACAGATTTCACATTTAAAAGGACGTTTTTTCGCTATGATTAGGCATGTGATCGACCATATGTTTTGTTAGATGATGCGATTCTGCAAATGATTGATTACAAATGTCACAATCAAAAGACTCCTGCTTGACTTCATCTTCAATTGTCACCTCGGAATTCATAAATCTTTCTAAACAAGTATCATTGTCTTCAGAAAACGATTCAGATTTAACAATAGCATAGTGACATCAAATTCATCCTCATTTTCGCATTTAATGTCTTCTACTGGATATTCTGGTGGTGGTTATTTTAATAATTGCCTGATCATTCATTGACATAAATGTTTTTTTCTGACATTTTTAAATATTTTCACTGCTTATATACAAATCAATAAATATTTATGGAATAGTTGTTTTATACAATAATAATAATAGTTTAGTTTAATCCAAAAAATTTTAAAACATAAATGAGTTTAACTAAAATTTACATTCATTATTTGACATTTGAAGCATAGAGTATGTTCATAGAAAGATGAGACTCAAAACCTTTGGAACGTAGAGAATAAAGATATGCAAAATTTTCATTTTGAAATGAAATAAACATTTTTAATTTCAGAAGTTAATTATCGGAGTATCATCGTTTTATTTTTTCGTTACTACTACTTTATTTACATTTCAGGAGACAATATTTTATATACATTTTATTTGTATTACTTATGGTTTTAGGTGATTTATGAAAAGAATTACTTAGAAACAAGTTAATTTTTTTAAAAAAATACATTTTCAGTATTATTGTCGTTACTTTAGCCTCTGTAGATGTTACAAACAACCGCAAAACACGGGGTAAGTTGTAACATCGTACTTTTTTAAGGAAATGATTGTGAAATAATGAACTATAATTATGGAATTATTTTTATTTGATTTGGTAGAGAAAAAGTTAAAGTATCGAGCTTTATTTCATAAAAATATAATCGGTAAATTTCAACAAGCCCCTAGCTCTCCTACATGCCTTTTTATGTTAATTATTCTAAAATTAACAACAAAAATATTTGTTGATAGTCGAGATACATAAATATCTTGTCCCCATCTTTATATAATCATAATCACACTCTATGCTTCAAGTGTCAAATGATGAATTTAGTTGAAGTTATTTATCAAATTTTAAAAATTTATTGATTAAACAAAATCTATTATTATTGTTTAGCACACAATTATTTTATAAATATAAGCATTGAATTTAAAAATGTCTGAAAGAACTATGTCTATGAATGCTCAGGCAATTAAATTTGAACCACCAGAATATTCAGCAGAGGACATTAAATGTGAAATTGAGGAGGAACTTGATGCCCTTGATGCTATTGTTAAATCTGAATCGTGTTCTGAGGATGATGAAACGAGTTTAGCAAAATTCATGACTTCTGAGGTGACAATTGAAGATGAAGTCAAACAGGAGTCTTTTGATTGTGACATTTGTAATCAATCATTTGCAGAATCCCATCATCTAACAAAGCATATGGTCGATCACATGCCTAACCATAGCAAAGAACGCCCTTTTAAATGCAAAATCTGTCATAAGACTTATACATTATCACAAGCATTGAAAAGACACATGAAAACACATTCTGAAGAAGGTCTCTTTAAATGTGATGAATGTGATAAGACATTCAGGCATTCAAGTAATCTAAAAATCACATACTCATTCACAGTGGCGAGCGTCCCTATGAATGCAGTATATGCAAGAAGACATTTGCACAATCAAATAATCTGAGAAATCATATGGTCATTCATGGTGGTAAGCGTCCCCATAAGTGCAATATATGCAATAAGACATTCATGGGATTTAGCCATCTGAAAGTTCACATGCGCATTCACAGTGGTGAGCGTCCCCATGAGTGCAATATATGCAAGAAGACATTTAGACAATCAGGTAGTCTGAGAAATCACATGGTCATTCACAGTAATGAGCGCCCTCTCGAGTGCAGTATATGCAATAAGACATTTCAACGAACAAATAATCTGAAAAGTCACTTGTTGACTCATAGCAGTGGGCTACCTTATGAATGTTCAATATGCAATAAGACGTTCAGACTTTTATGCACTCTGAAAAGTCACATGCTGATGCACAACGGAGTATGTCCTTATGAATGCAATGCGTGCAATAAGACATTCACACAATTAAGGTATCTGAAAAATCACATGCTGGTACACAATGAAGTACGCCCTCATGAATGCAATGTATGCAATAAGGCATTCAAACGATCAAGTTCTTTGAAAGAACACTTGCGGATTCATAATGGAGAGCATCCTTATAAATGTGAAATTTGCAATAAGGGATTTGCTCAATCATGCAATTTAAAGAAACACATGGCTCTTCATAGTCGAGAGCGTGATGAAAATCTGTAAAATATATGTTAAATTATATTTAAATATTTGGAAATATGTTATAGAATACATTTTACATTTAATGGAATGTACAAAATAGTATGAAATATACAGTAAATATTAAATAATATGCATTTATTGATTGTTAAACCAGGACAATTGTTACAAATTGTATCATTTAATTTTTTTTAGATTTCTATTGGTTGGAAAATTTTGTTTTTGAAATAACAAATTTGTTATGGAACGATTTTTGAATGATTCAAATTGGATGTTCTAAAACATCCAATTTGAATCGTTCCATTTGCTTGTATTGATAAAACGATTGTTTTAGGGGAAAGCAAAAAAAACTAGTGGTGCTTGGCATTAAGGCAAATTTCTGGAAATTCCCCTACCAAAAACTAAATTGAAAAAAAAACTTTGAAACAACTTGATTTTTAATAAATTTTGAAATTTTTCCAAACCTTTGACTTTTTTGAAAAAAATGATTTTTTATTTTGATTTTTTTCGAAAATTTTGAATATTTTCTTAATGCAATCGCGCTGCAAAGCTGATTTGGAATCGAATTATAAAAGCGCGTAAGCGCCGCGTAGTCATCTAAAATGTCAACATTGGTGCGGTATATAAATGTACAAAATTTGTACTTATTATAATCTTTATAAAAACATCTGATAATACGATGTACATATGTCTAATGTTCACTTTTTTACTTTTTCCTCCATATCTCCAAAGTCATTGGACCTGCCTTTCCAAAAAATTTGAACAGTTCTTCATTTCGTAAATACACGTAAAATGTTTTTTGAATTATTTAAATCAGATGCCATGTTATCTCAAAAACTTGGTTTCTATTTTCTGCACTCTTTGCTCTGTAAATCCAAAACGGCTAGACCTGCCTTTGCCAAAAACTAATCAGCACGTCTCCTTATCAGTAAAAATCGAATATTTTTTTGAATTATTTAAATCGGTTAATCCGTGTTCGCGAAATACAATTTCTTAGGTATGCCAAAATGTTCAGAAACCTTTGAAACGTAAAGATATATTAAAATTTTCATTTTTGATTTTTTTGCGATTACGATAACTACCGGAATTTATTTTAATTTTTTGAATCACTAATTTTTTTTTGAGTATCGAAAATAATTGGGATTTTAATTTTAAGTCTAGCTAAAACCCTAGAGAGCATACTCATATACTTGAAATAAATAATTTTAACTTTGCAATTCAGTTTATATAATTCTTAAAAATAAAAGTAGAGGTCTTTTATTCTAATTATGGAAACATATATGGAGTCCAATTTATAGACTGTTATATTTTGTCTATAAAATACGAATGATCAAAGCAACAGTATCTATATTAATTTATTTAAAAACATTTAAAATCCCTCGAATATTCCACCAAAGCACTGGAAGTTCGAGCAATTTGCTTCGAGGCATTATGCCATTAATAAAATAAGTTGTATTTATATAATACATATATATTTAATAGAAGTGAATTATAAAAATTAACGTGTAAAATGGATTACATATGAATGTGCTTGATTTGATTACATTTTTTAATTTATTTAATTTTGGCCAATTCTGCGATAACATTGCGTAGCCTTGGCAACGCTATCTTATCCTTCTTTCTTGGTACTAAAAACTTTGAAAAAGTTATCTATTTGCTTTACGTTTAGGCGTTTTACACATAAAACCGCATGTTATGAACGCGCATCACAAAGATGCTGTGGTAAACATAGAATAAGTGCGCTTTACCCTGTATGAATGTTTTCAGCGTATCACAGATGGCGCTAGTGCGCTTCAAATTTAGTGTTTGTTTTAAAACAGTTTCTCTAGATATAGTACACCTACTTAACCTAAAGTATCAATTTTATATATTGAAATATATATTTTTTTGAATGAATAAAATGTTTATTTTTTTTATTATATATTTCACAACATATTTGTGATTTTTTGAAAATATATTTTATTCGAGTATATTTTGTACTTAGTCAAATTAATCATATTTATATAAATCTTATTTAGAATTGAACCTAAGGGTAAACTTACGTGCTACGGTTGGTGTCGACATCTATGATATGCTTACGCAATTAAAATTGATGTAATGTCAAAGCGGCCGTGTTTGCCATCTATTTATTAACTTCCCGTTAGGGTAGTTACAGTAATGGTCCGAAAATCGAAAATGAAAATTTTTGCATTTCTCGACGTTTTGGCATACCTCAAAAAAAAATGGATGTGTGTGTGTTTTTTATATGTCCGCATTTTTTCATCCACGTTTTCGGGCCCACCGATCAACCGATTTGAATGGTTTAAAAAACATTAGATCCATATTGATAGGGAGATGTGCTGATTAGATTTTGGCAAAGGCAGGTCCAGCCGTTACGGAGATACGGAGCAAAAATGCAGAAAATACAAATCGAGTTTTTGAGAGAACCGAGTATCGGATTTGAATGATCTAAAAAACATTCAATTTGTAATGATTGGGAGAAGAGGTGATTAGTTTTTGGCAAAAACAGGTACCGCCATTTCGAAGATAAAGAGCTAAATGTGCAAAAAATGGCAGTTTTTGAGTGAATTAATCGTCCGATTTGAATGTTCTAAAAAACTTTCTGCTTGTATTGACAAAACAATTGCTTTTGAGGATAAAAAATTATATCTTTTTTTATTTTCCATAAAATATTTTTGTAATTTTGGATTAAAAATTAAAAAAATACCCAGGCTAAGAACAGTCTAAGTACCACTCTGGTACAAATGTTTACCCAAGTGCGTTTAGACTATTTATGTACTGGAGCACTTTTCCAATTTTGTGAAAACTATTCAAAAATGTGAAGATGCCGCCAAGCTAAGCACAGTATGAGTGAAAATGTCGCACAGAATTATTTGCAAATGCTTGGACTGTTTAGACTGTGACTATACTTTTTCAATTCTGTGTAAATTAGGCTATATAATCTATTTTTTTTTAAATTGAATTCGAAATGAAATAACGATTGTTAATGTTCTGGAGATGAATTGATTTATGATTTACATTTGATTTGCCCAGATGTAACAAGATAGCAAAAATAATGAAAGTTACAGTATTTGTAATAATATATTTGAAAACGTTTAAAATTTCTCGAATATTTCGTTACGGTACGGGAAGTTCCAACAATATTTGCCTTAAGGCACGATGCCATACACCACTAGTACTTGTTTATTTCTGGATGCTCTTATAAAATTCTTTCTGGGTTTGTTGTATGTGAAATATGTCTGATCGTGCATCATATATACCATTTTCTCTTTCTAGTACCAAGAAAGAAGGATAAGATATCGTTGTCATGAAAACACTGTGTTACCGAAGAATTGTTCCCTAAGTCTTCAAAATTGCAACTAATTTATTAACATTGCAAAACCTTTTACAATTTTGTGAATTACTCATCTACATGATCTAATTTTAAGGGTGATGACTTACATTTAATTACTTCTATTTTTTAACATGTGATTGGTGTACCGTCAGCATTCGTCTGTTTCTTCGGTTTACAAATTTTGGTCCTTCCATTCGATCCGTATACAATATTGCACGAGAATGTGAAATATCCACATGTGGATGATTTTGTGTAATATGTGTGCTCATAGGTTTTTCTCCTGACTTCCTTCTGTTGAGGCAAAGGTTGCTGTTTTTCTCGGTCGACGTTACCGGATTCCGATTTTGTTACCGAAACGTAACCACTCGGTTTGTATCCGTTTCTTAGGAGACCACGATTGCTCTGGCTGTTTAGGGATGATTGGGAACTTCTGGTTGCTAAAGTCGCTGTTTGAGCCTAAAATAAACCGAAAACATAAACCTTCAGGAAGTTTAAAAATGTCAATTTGGCATATGTTCACTATTTATTATATTTACTAGATGACCCGACAGACGTTGTCCTGTACCCATTTCTACAATTTTTTAATATAATATACTAATATTTACCGTTTACCTTAAAATAATAATTATTGTTTTACAAATTACGCTTCACGCCAAAATGCATATACATTTATAATATTAGCGATGTTAAATGTAGAACTGCTTTAAATAAAACGAGTCTCAATTCCCACACTATATTGGAAATTGAAGTCCTTTAAACAGTATAACATAAGCATAACCATAACATAACACTGGTACTTCATGTTGGATTAAATTAATTTAATTTTTTTTTATTTAAGATATCTAAAATTGCATCTTAAACTTCTCCTAATCAATATCGTGAGGGCCGATTTGTATGTATTCATCTCTACTTTCCCATTTGTTGTTATATAGTGAAATTTTTACGAAGTTTAAAAATATTGTGGAAAGATTAATAAAAGAAGCAGAGAAATTATATATAAAAAAAACTATATATACTATATAAACTATAAAATAAATATATATACTATATAAACTATATAAAGTGAAATTTTTACGAATTTTAAAAATATTGTGGAAAGATTAGTGAAAGATGCAAAGAAATTATATATTGAAAAAAAAAAACTGTATTAAAATTTTAATATCCGAATATCCGTGCGCTCGTATTTTTCGCACGCATCGCGTTACAGGTAGGACCTGCCCTGATTAATACCTAATTTTATATTTTAAGTGAATTAATTTGTCTAATTGTTCATAAGTGTGTATCATTCAATCCGCCATACATATATGTACTGTATTTTAAATTATTTTTATTTCTGGCAAATCTCAGCTGCGTTTTGGCAATAATAATGTAGACATTTCATTTTTCTTATTCATAATCATAAATTTATTATACATATTCTAATATTGTCTAGACTCGTAAGTAAATTGAAATTTTTGTATCTGCTTCTTATATTATTTTAATTTTAGACACACCTCAGCTGCTTTTTGGCAATAATGTAGACGTTTCATTTTTCTTATCCATAATCATAAGTTCATTATACATATTATAATATTGTCTAGATTCATATGTAAATTGAAATTTTTGCATTATGATAATTTTCATTTGTTTTCAATGCAATCAATGACATGTCGTTTTTTACAATTTTTTCCATTAATTGCACATACAATATTGCACATACATCCCAGTACTTTATAATCACATACATCCTAGAAAATTTCCTTAACAAACTTCAGGAAGATTTATCAAAATCCGCATATAACCGTTTAGGTGTGTACAGTGAGTGCTTGTAATTTAATATGAGCTTTATATAATAGCAATAAAGCTCAAATTGAATCTATGTTTTAGTTAGAAAATGTTTGTATGAGAAAAAGAAAAGGGCTATTTTTAGGATTTTCCCAACAATTTTTCAGTTTTTTCTCGCCGTAAGAACCATCCTTGAACATTTCAAAAATAATGGCCAAATTGGTCCAGGCGTTGTTGAGTTATGCGCTTACCAACACATTTTGCGATTCATTTTTATATATAAGAACATATCCATATGTTGAAAACAGATATTTCTATATTACAAACCACACCTCAATTTTATCTTTATCTTTAGCTTACTTGCCTGCGAATTTTTTCCCCCACTTGCAAAAGTATTTCCCAAACTGCCAGCTCCCGAAACCAGTCTTCCTCTAAATCCTTGCGGAACTACATATCCAGTATTACCAACTGTCTCTCCAGGTTGAAAAACTATTCCGCCACTCGGTACAACGGTTCCTCTCGGTTCTTGAACAACTCTTGCCCTTTGGCCCTCACCTAACACGATGTGCTGGGTCTGAGTCGGCGTTGATTGTGTTATTTTACTTCCACTTGGTGTCGGTTGAGGATTTGCTGATGGCGATGATCTGAATGAAGGAAGGGCTGATGATGGGGTTACTGAGGAATCTGGATACTCGTCATCGTATTCGTCATCGTATTCGGAACTTTCATCAATGTCCACTGAAAGAAGAAAGTAATATTTTGTATTAGAATTGCGTCGACACTTTAATTTGATGGTAAATGAGAATGTTCTTACTTGTCTTCGGTGTAGTACTATCTCCAAATATTGGTTTTGCACTATGTTGAGTTTGCGAAAGCCCCGAAGTGCTTCCATGTTGGTGTTCGTGTTGAACTCCCGACAGCACCTTTTTCTGCTCGTGTGTTTCCGCCGTAGTACTGCTTCCACCAATGGCAGATCTTTTATTTAATTCTTCTCCACTTCCAGCTTGAAACACTCCTTCAGGTTTTGGTAGCTTTCTGAATCCTTGAACACCGTCCTTGCTGCCCGAAGCGGCTTGCGCCGCGCCTGTATAACTAATGCCGTAATTGAATCGCCCTTGAATTTGACTCTGACTTTGTCCTGTACTACGTCCAGATTGTGCTGAAGCGGTGCCTCCACCACGGAAAGGCGTCGATTGCACCTAAAAATATCATTTCTTAGCCTCGTTCATTCATTTTTTGTGGCAACTTTTCTTTTACCTGTTCTCCACTGGCGGATTCGTCAGGCTTAAATCCAATTTGAGCTTGTGACGATGTGCTTCCTGGTCCTTCGGCTTGAGCATCTGCCATGCCTCCTTTTCCGCCTGCTTGAACTAAAGTGTTGGTTCCGTGGTTCCAACCGGAAGATTGACCGCTTGCGGAAGTTGCACCAGTGTCTGCAGAAGTAGCAACTTGAGCTTGCGCGTTGCCAGAACCAGCATGACCCTGTGCACTGCTAGTAACTCCTTTTGCATTCCCCTGAATAGTGGAATTTCGTTATATTTATTGCAATTTGTTTAATCATGTTTTATGAAAAATTTACAACACATATTACCTGTATTTGGGCACTTGCACCTCGGCTAACGTCAGCTATACTTGCTTGGGCAGTAAAGGATCCAGTTCCGCTGTGCGTTCCGCTCACTTGAGTCTGAGCAGCCCCTCCTGTTGCAGACGCTGCTGCTTGTGTCTCACCCCCTTCTATACTGTGGACTGAAGTTTCAGCTTGAGAAACTTCATCAGAACCATCACCAATATCAAGGTGGCCTGTGATGTCTATTTGTTGTGAACTGATTACTTGTCCCGGGCCTCTTTGTACTAAATCACCTGGCTTTTGTCCTTGCTGACCTGGTATATAACCAGGGTATTGAGCCCCGGATTGTCCTGGTTGTTGACCTGGTAATTGAGCGCCGGGCTGTCCTGGGAATTGACCTGGGTATTGAACTCCGGGCTGCCCAGGTAATTGACCCGGGTATTGAACTCCGGGCTGCCCAGGTAATTGACCCGGGTATTGAACTCCGGGCTGCCCAGGTAATTGACCCGGGTATTGAACTCCGGGCTGCCCAGGTAATTGACCTGGGTATTGAACTCCGGGCTGCCCAGGTAATTGACCCGGGTATTGAACTCCGGGCTGCCCAGGTAATTGACCCGGGTATTGAACGCCGGGCTGTCCTGGTAATTGGCCTGGGTATTGAGCGCCGGGTTGTCCCGGTAATTGACCTGGAAATTGTATGCCAAGTTGTCCTGGTATTTGAACTGGGTATTGAACTGCTGGTTGTCCTGGAATTTGAGCGCCGGGTTGGCCTGGTAATTGACCTGGATATGAAACGCCTGTTTGTTCTGGTAATTTACCTGGGTATTGAGCGCCAGGTTGTCCTGGAATAATACCGTCCGGTTGTCCAGGTAATTGACCTGGGTATTGAATTCCAGGTTGTCCTGGTAGTTGACCGGGATATTGTGTTGCAGTTTGTCCTGGTAGTTGACCGGGATATTGTGTTGCAGTTTGTCCTGGGTATTGAGCGCTGGTTTGACCTGGCAGTTGTGCAGGATATGTTACTTGTCCATTGTATTGCTTGCTCATCTGTCCTGTAGTTTTTTCCGAGAATTGTACTCCTGATTGATCAACCACTTGTCCGGGATATTTTGCCGTTGGTAATCCAGATACATCTGGGGGATATTGTATTCCAGATTGACCCGCTGCATCTCCAGGTACTTTAGAAATACTAGTTTCTTTTACTTGACCTGGATACTGTGTTCCGGCTTGACCCGGTACTTGCCCTATGTATTGTGTTCCTGTTTGACCGGGAACTTGTCCTGGATATTGTGCTCCTGTTTGACCGGGTACTTGCCCAGGATACTGAGCTCCGGCTTGACCGGGAACTTGTCCTGGATATTGTGCTCCTGTTTGACTGGGAACTTGTCCTGGATATCGTGCTCCAGCTTGACCGGGAACTTGTCCTGGATATCGTGCTCCAGCTTGACCGGGTACTTGGCCTGGATATTGCGCTCCTGCTTGATCGGGCACTTGGCCTGGATATTGCGCTCCTGCTTGACCGGGCACTTGGCCTGGATATTGCGCTCCTGCTTGACCGGGCACTTGGCCTGGATATTGTGCTCCCGCTTGACCGGGTACTTGGCCTGGATATTGTGCTCCTGCTTGACCGGGTACTTGGCCTGGATATTGTGCTCCTGCTTGACCGGGTACTTGGCCTGGATATTGTGCTCTTGCTTGACCGGGTACTTGGCCTGGATATTGTGCTCCTGCTTGACCGGGTACTTGGCCTGGATATTGTGCTCCTGCTTGACCGGGTACTTGACCTGGATATTGTGCTCCAGCTTGGCCAGGTACTTGGCCTGGATATTTTGTTTCTGCTTGACCGGGTACTTGGCCTGGATATTGTGCTCCTGCTTGACCGGGTACTTGGCCTGGATATTGTGCTCCTGCTTGACCGGGAACTTGCCCAGGATACTGAGCTCCGGCTTGATCGGGTACTTGGCCTGGATATTGTGCTCCTGCTTGACCGGGTACTTGGCCTGGATATGGTGCTCCTGCTTGACCGGGTACTTGCCCTGGATATTGTGCTCCCGCTTGACCGGGTACTTGGCCTGGGTACTGTGCTCCTGCTTGATCGGGTACTTGGCCTGGGTATTGTGCTCCCGCTTGACCGGGTACTTGGCCTGGGTACTGTGCTCCTGCTTGACCGGGTACTTGGCCTGGGTATTGTGCTCCTGCTTGACCGGGTACTTGGCCTGGGTATTGTGCTCCTGCTTGGCCGGGTACTTGGCCTGGATATTGTGTTCCTGCTTGACCGGGTACTCGGCCCGGATATTGGGTCCCTGCTTGACCGGGTACTTGGCCTGGATATTGTGCTCCGGCTTGACCAGGTACTTGCCCAGGATACTGAGCTCCGGTTTGACCGGGTACTTGGCCTGGATATCGTGCTCCTGCTTGACCGGGTACTTGTCCTGGATATTGTGCCCCTGCTTGACCGGGTACTTGCCCAGGATACTGAGCTTCCGCTTGGCCTGGATATTGTGCTCCTGCTTGACCGGGTACTTGACCTGGATATTGTGCTCCAGCTTGGCCGGGTACTTGACCTGGATATTGTGCTCCAGCTTGGCCGGGTACTTGGCCTGGATATTTTGTTCCTGCTTGACCGGGTACTTGGCCTGGATATCGTGCTTCTGCTTGACCGGGTACTTGGCCTGAATATTGTGCCCCTGCTTGACCGGGTAATTGCCCAGGATACTGAGCTCCGGCTTGGCCGGAAACTTGGCCTGGATATTGTGCTCCAGCTTGGCCGGGTACTTGGCCTGGATATTGTGCTCCAGCTTGGCCGGGTTCTTGGCCTGGATATTTTGTTTCTGCTTGACCGGGTACTTGGCCTGGATATTGTGCTCCTGCTTGACCGGGTACTTGCCCAGGATACTGAGCTCCGGCTTGACCGGGTACTTGGCCTGGATATTGTGCTCCTGCTTGACCGGGTACTTGGCCTGGATATTGTGCCCCTGCTTGACCGGGTACTTGACCTGGATATTGTGCTCCAGCTTGGCCGGGTACTTGGCCTGGATATTTTGTTTCTGCTTGACCGGGTACTTGGCCTGGATATTGTGACCCTGCTTGACCGGGTACTTGCCCAGGATACTGAGCTCCGGCTTGACCGGGGACTTGGCCTGGATATTGTGCTCCTGCTTGACCGGGTACTTGGCCTGGATATTGTGCCCCTGCTTGACCGGGTACTTGGCCTGGATATTGTGCTCCAGCTTGACCGGGAACTTGTCCTGGGTATTGCGCTCCTGCTTGACCGGGAACTTGTCCTGGGTATTGCGCTCCTGCTTGACCGGGAACATGTCCTGGATATTGTGCTCCTGCTTGACCGGGTACCTGGCCTGGATATTGTGCTCCGGCTTGACCGGGAACTTGCCCAGGATACTGAGCTCCGGCTTGACCGGGTACTTGTCCAGGATACTGAGCTCCGGCTTGACCGGAAACTTGTCCTGAATATTGTGCTCCTGCTTGGCCGGGTACTTGGCCTGGATATTGTGCACCTGGTTGACCGGGAACTTGGCCTGGATATTGCGCTCCTGCTTGACCGGGTACTTGGCCTGGATATTGTGCTCCCGCTTGACCTGGATACTGTGCACCAGGTTGTCCAGCAAATTGTTGACTGGTTGGGCCTACACCTCCCACCTGCCCTGGATATTGAGCTCCGGGTTGAGCTCCTACTTGCCCTGGTAATTGTATTCCTGCTTGTCCGGGATATTGCCAACCAGGCTGCCCTGGTATCTGACCAGGCGGTTTTGTAATGCCAGGTTGCCCACTAACTTGTCCAGGTAATAACGCACCGGGTTGACGGGGTACTTGTCCTGGGCTGGGTACTTGACCAGGACGTAATGGCGTTCCTGGCGCGGTTCCGGAAGGACGTCCTGGAACAAACGTAGTGGGCGGTTGCCATCCATCTGGACCTGTTAGACGATCCGGTAGTCCCGGTCTTGGCCTAGTATCTTTATCGACACTCACTCCTGGTGGTGCTGCATGGCCTGGTCTGCCATATTGCGCTAGTACTTCCGTGCCTGGTAGTCCTACATATGACATGAAATAATTTTTATAACTAAACAACTTTCATATTTTATTTTGTTAAAATATAAAGTAGATGAATAAAAATAAAGTTTTATATAATATTGCAAATACCTGGATATGCTCCAGGGTAACCTCTGTAGTAGCCATCGTACCCAACACAGTCTGCGCAGCTTCCCGCACTAGATTGACTTTGAGCTTGTCCCATGCCATTACTTCCAGCTATTGAGGAAATACAATTTGGCTAATTTTAGCAATTCGTATATTTGAAATCTGTGGCTCTTATATATATATATATATATATATATATATATATATATATATATATATATATATCCTCTATATATATATATATATATATATATATATATATATATATATATATGTATGTATATGATTTTTTTGTATTGATAGATGTTAGATGTATGTTTTATCTTACAGACAACTGCCCTGCTGCCTCCGCCATCCAGTGCTTCGGCTTCTGCTTTACCATCTTTATCAGGAGAACCAGCACCGCCGAAATTTAAATATTGGGCTTGAGTTTGGCCACGAAATCTGTGGAAAGCAAAAAATGAACGTGTTTTGGAACCACACTTAAGGTAAGATTTTCTTATTTATTCTTATATATTCTCTCCTGCTAAACGGCTAGTCTAATTTCTATGAATCATTTTGTGTATATCGAACTGATTTTATGGAAAATATTGAAGAAATTGTAATGATGTAAGGGTAAGGGAAAAAATAGTAAAAACGGACTTACTATTGTTTGCCCATGGGAAAAAATCATCATCGGAGTGTATCTCAAATATCAACAATAAACTAGTATTCTATTTACCTTCCTCGACGTCCACTTTGTGCATCAGCTTCTCTCTTCTGTCTGATTGGAGCATTAGTTTTCAATGCAGAATTTTGTGTATCAGTCCTGCCTTCTAATTTTGTTAAAGCATTAGTGTTTCCCACTAAATCTTCTTTATCACTAAAATTCATAATTGATATAATGTTTTGGCCTAAATTGGTCACAAGAGAATTTTACCTGGCGTGTTGATCAGCATTTTCAATACCGAAAGTTGGTTTTTCTTCTTGCAACAAATAAGTTTCGAAACCGAGGCAGAAGTCGACGATTCTTGAACCTGCTATTTCTTTTAACTAGAAAAAATTTGTTAGTTAACATTCCAATGATGTAGTTAATAATTTATCTGATGGATTATTATAATTTTTTTTTTCATTTTTTAAGCGATATCTTACTACTACTGTTTTTTACTATAGTCACTTGGGGTTGCCGCCGTTCTGACGATAATTTCAATTATCGTTATACAGTAATATCGTGTTTTTTATCAGTTACTATTCTCAAAAAATTACTGCTAATTAATTTCCAGGTTTTAGTCCACATTTTGTTACCATAAATGCATCATTCTCCAAATTAAAAATTAATGTTGGAACTTGCGAAATGCATTGAAATGAACTTCAATGTATTTTTTGGTGACTGTGGAGTTTTCACAATTATAATAACATTGACGCATTCGTTGGTATTTCGTGTTATCAGTAGCCCTTTGAACGTAATTTTTTACAAGACAAACTTGACCTAATATTTCAGTTTACGTTATTTTTTTACTCGTATAAATTAGGTTTCTAGTTAGCAAAAATGTGAAAGATCAAACAACGTAAAAAATGTAATAAATAAGACACATAGAATTAATGATTTAAACCCTATTTAATCAAATATGGGAATTATTTTTTAATAATTGTCAAATGGTACTTACTTCTGAAATGAAAACTCATACTTTTTTTGTATTTGGAAATTTTTACATCTGTCCTGAAATGGACAAGTAACTCTGCAGGAAAAAAAATGATATTGAAAATAAAAAAATTTCTTAATATTTTTAGATATTTTGAAAATTTATTGTGATATGAATGTATTAAAACGATTATTAACATGCAATTGAAATATTTCGATAATTTACAAAAATTACAAAAAATAGTTTTTAGACGTCATCTGGTTTTTATTTAGATTGAATTATCATTTAAATTCTTTAAACTTTTGGGTATAATATTTTTGGGTGTTCTATAGGTAAAAAATCATTTTTGATTAAATGCCTGAAACATCTGTGATAATAGTCAAAAGATTTTGTATTTTCAGTCTTTTTTTTATCGATTTCAGGACGTCCTTTTGTATAAACAAATGTCAAAATATTATCTAGATTCCTCACATTTATTTCTTTCCAAATGGCTTCATATCGGCCTCAATAAATGAAAGTGGCCAAATCGGTGCAATTAGTTATTTAGAAAAAGATCTAAATTTAGCTTACACGCACACACATTCTTTTCATATTTAGTCAAACGATTCAAATTTAGTTGAAACGCTAAAGAAACATATAATTGGCAAATCGAAATTTTTGGAAAACACTTTATATATCTTACGGAAAGTTATAAAATAAAATGACACTGGCTTAATAATCAAGTGGAGGCCAAATCGGTGCAGTAGTTAGTTGCTTAGAAAACGTTAATAAAAGATTCAAATTTAACTCACATGCACACACATAGTTCCTGTAATTTGTCACTCGATTTAGATCGAGTTGAAACGTCAAGGAAACGTAAAATTAGCAAATCAAATTTTTTGGAAAAAACTATTTTATCCCACGAAAAGTAAAAAAAAAACATTGACACATGGCTTCGTATCGGTCTCAACAAATAAGTGGCCAAATCGGTGCAGTAGTTAGTTACATAGAAAACCTTAATGAAAGATCCAAATTTAGCTCACATGCACACATATACTTTTTATAATTTGTCAAACGATTCAGATCGAGTTGAAACGCCAAAGAAACATAAAATTAGCAAATCGAAAATTTTGGAAAAAACTATCTTATCCTAAGGAAAATTGAAAAAAAACCTTGACACATGGTTTCATATCGGTCTTAATAAATAGAAGTGGCAAATCGGTGCAGTAGTTAGTTATTTAAACTTACAGTTAGTTACTTAAATTAACAAATTGAAATTTTTGGAAAAAAACTATTGTATCCTAAAGTTGAAAAAAAAACATTGACGCAAGGTTTCATATCGGTCTCGATAAATAAAAGTGGCCATTTCGGTGCAGTTAGTTACTTAGAAAACGTTAATAACAGATCTAATTTTAGCTTGCATACACACATGTACACACATTTTTTTCTAATTGGTCAAAATGTCCAAAAAACGTAAAATTAGCAAATCGAAATTTTTGGTAAAAAATTTGGAAAAAATGTTATCCTGGGAATAGCAAATTTTTTTAATAACTGTCTAAAACAACAAACAGCATTAAAATGTATATAAATTTTATAGCAATAGGTGATGTTTTATTTTTTATATTAGTGAATGAAAAAAAAAAACGTTTTGAATCTACTATTTCTATTGAACATCAAATATATTACATCGATCTAATTCTAATTCCCAGCCCTATGAATTATTACTAATCAAACATTGTACATCTCATAACCTAATTAATATCTATCTTAAACGAAATTGAAGATCATTATTATGTATGTTCGTCCAGTTGTCGCGATTTTATCATCATATTTGATTTATTTCCATAATTACCGAGTTCTGATTCTGATTACACAAACTACTACTGTATATAATACAGTGTTGTGAGTATTATGAACGACCCAAATTTAAAATGATACAAGTATTAACTGTTAGTTATTAGGATGATTTACACATGAGGCAAAATGCCACTTGCATCTAGTATATATATATATATATATATATATATATATTATCACCTGTATTTTGTTAAGGGGTTCTCCAGCTACATATAAAGTTCTGGTATCAAGGGATGTCTGGGCTTCCATTTCGCTCAACATTTGTTCTATGTAACAAGAACCCTCATGGAGGTCCTTGTAGGCAATGATACCCTAAAAATTGAAAAAAATTATAAATTGAAGGTATTTAGGAGCAAGGAATTAAATTTTGTTTGTATTTTACATTATCGTGGTCAATAATATGCCTCGTCTTGATAAATCCGGCTCTGGCTTCGTGTTCCAATAATTTGATCTTGTCGAATGCTTCCAGATTTAACTGTAAAAATATAAATTATTTTTAATAAAAATTATTTGTTGAATTTTTTCTTAAATATAACAAAATATAAAATTAGCAAATCCAAATTTTTAGAAAAACCTACGGAAAGTTAAATATCGGTCACAATAAATAAGTGGCCAAATCGGTGCAGTTAGTTACTTCAAAACGTTAATAAAAGATATAAATTTAATTTTAGCTCACATGCATACACGCACACACATATTGCTTAATAATTTTTTTTTTATGAATTTATTTGTTAAAATTTGTTTTTAGATAACAAAACATAAAATTTGCAAATCCAAATTTTTAGAAAAAACCTAAGGCAAGTTAAATATCGGTCTCAACGAATAAGTGGCCAAATCGGTGCAGTTAGTTACTTCAAAACGTTAATAAAAGATCTAAATTAGCTCACATGCACACACATATTTTTCTATTATTTGTCAAACAATTCTGATTGAGTTGAAATGTTAAAGAAACGCAAAATCAGCATTCTAATAAAAATAATAATAAAATAGTAATAAAATTATCTTTTATGACATGAACTTTGTTTCTTGAACGTTCGGAACTAAATATTTAGTTTATTGAAATTAATTCAAGTTTTACTATATAAAGCAATTGTAATGTTTCTAAATATGTTTTAGTTATCTAGCAATTTGAAGTTTTTCATGATTTTTGATTGCCCCCCACAAATAATTATTTACCGATAGAAAATGCAAGTTACACTAATATTTATTTTTAAATTATTTGAAACTTAAGTCCCTAGAATATAAATAAAATTTGTAAATATGTTAAGGTTATAAATTCATTAGCAACAATAGAGGTTAATTAAGGTTTTTTTTACTAGCTTTTTTTGTAGGAAAAAATTATAATCTTTTTTCCAAACTTTTGATGAAACTTGCCTACACACTCCAGTACATTTTTTAATGAAGAGTCCTTCAAAGTCGGTCAATTTCGACAATTTTAAATTCATAGTTTAACAAATAATTTAAATTCTAGAAATTTTATGACAATTTTGTCATTATGGTCCTAGGAGTTTTCTTTAAAATTAAGGTTCTAATATAAATTTAAATAAACTAAAATACAATACACCCGAGAAATATTTACAATTTGACCCAAGCCTTAATTTACTTACAAGCTCATAATTTTCATACTGCATGAAATAATTTTTTTCCCATAATAGTAACTCGATAATTTTTGTAGCTTTAGTAATTACTTTCTTATAAAATTTAAAAATACGTATATAACACCTAAATCAAGATATTCACAATACTCTAGGTACTATAACTGTATTTTCTTATTTATTTTTTTATAGTTAATGCATTTTTCTTCGGTTTTAAATAATCATTTTGTAGCTGTTTTAAAAAATCATTACGTCAAAAAATGCGGAAATATAATATTCCTAAAATTTTCGGGTCAAAGTTTAGTCGTAACATCAGCTGATAAGCCAAAAGAATATTACCAGAATTTTTTTGATCAAAAATTTATTTGATTTCTTTATATTGATTAAATTTATGACATGGAAACGTAAGATATTTGTAATTTTAATAATGGATTAAAATTTTTTTTTTTCTTACCTTTGCCCCATTTGATGATACTATAGAAGCACTAACAAGTAGTGATAATACTAAAAGCTTCATTTTTATGTATTATAATTATAAATAATTTGCACTTCAGGCAAATTTAAAACACTTCAATACTTGCATCATGAATTTTCTGACTTTTTTAAATTTGAGGTTTATTATTGAATTTCACTCTGAAAAACACAAATATATCAATTTTTAAATTTTGCTAACTAGATATTTATTAAGTTTTTGCTGTAAATAGATCGATTTGCTAATAATTTTGTTAATAATTAATATTCACTCTGAAAAACACCAAACTGTATATTTAATTTTACAAAGAGTTTATGTTTGTAAATCAAGTATTTGACCCTTTCCACTCGCGAATTCCGAGATTATATGAATTTTTGTGCGATAATTATTATCGAGATAGTTAAGAATTTATTACTGTTTTTGTGTTTATACAATTTCTATTCCAAATTGTTTTTATAAGGTTTTAAATTAAATTCTCAGTTGCACTCCTACACAAATTTCTGTTTAAAATTTTGTTTTAAACTCATATTACATTATTTAATTTAGTGACTTTTTTTCATCACATTTTATTTACTTAATTAACTTCAATAAATTCTGTGATTAACTTTATTTGATTGATAGATGTTGTAATTTATAATTTATTTATTTATGGACAAATGCAAAAGATTTGAGAATATTATTGGCTATGAATCGACTTTTAGAGATTTATTGTACTTCTAATAAATTAAATATGTTATTTTTATATATCATTCGAATAACCTGATATAAAATTTGCTCTTTCTTGGCATAATAAAGTTTTTAGCCTCATTTTTTTTTTTTATTCTTATGACTAAAAACCTCCAAAGCACATTTTTTATTTTTTAATTTAATCAAGTCACAAAATTATAGCATTTACATATGAATTGGATTTAGAGTAAAACACCTTATTTTTGTTGAAATATAAAATCATTCTCAACAAACTATCAGTTTTTTCATCAAATATGAAAAAATATCAAGGCATGTTTATTAAATTAAGATCATCACTTTAAATTATGAATTTTCTTTTAAACGAGTTGCCAAAAATACGAATTAAAAATTTAATGTAGATGATGAATTATATTTTTATCACATTGCTCCAACTCGTTAAATTTTCTTCCTGAATCTACATCGTCTTATAGTTAAAAAAAAAAAAAAATAAAAACAGGATAAATTGTGCAATCTGGGATTTATTATATTATTATCAATAAAAGCCAAAATTGTTATTCTTTTAAATCTTTTAACGAATCAAACAACTTTTTCTTCATATGCTTAATTCATATGCATTTTTTGAATTGCCCAAAAATCTCGAACAGGACGAATGTGCAACCGCTATTTCGCAAAGATCTCAAAAATGTACTTAATTTTTTTTAAAACACTGTAAAATTTAATATCACCTTTTATAGTATCTATATTTTTATTTTTCCGGAAAAAAAAATTGAGATATAAATTAGGATTTTTTCTCCCAATTTTAGATTTGTTGGCAAGGCGAAAGATTTTGCCGGACTGATTTTGTCTCTAGTAATGTCCTTACGATTTTGTAGAATTATTCAAAACAGTGAGTTCACTGTTTCATTTAGATCTTTTTAACGATTAAGAAGTCTCGTTAAAGACTTGTTATCAGTTACAAGAATTGTGTTACAATAATTATATACGAACGACTGTCAAAGATTATCTGAGGAGTCGATTTTGAATTGAAATTTCGGGTAGAAGATGATGTCATTATTATTTGGAAAACGTTTTTTTTTTTTCAATTTAATTTGTAGAAACACAGGACAAATACTGTAGTTACAAACTTTCTGAACAAGTTTGTTTTCTAGAAAATCCGATTCGCCAATTTTGTTTTCTCGACGTTTTAGGTCATTCTGAATTCATGTCAATTAGTGATAAGGTTCATGGTGTAACCGAACAACCGAAATTGAGTTTTAGATATTCAGATAAAATTTTCAACTGTTTTTTTCTAAATCTAAACATTGCGGTTTCGAATAGAATTTGCCTAAACACATTTAAATTATATGTAATTTAATTATATTGCACAGGCACGTGCTTGTATGTCTTAAAATTACAGCTTATTATTCCAAATTTTAATAAATTGACATTGTTTGACTTTTGACATCACACAAGCAACTTTTGACACAAATTTTGAATATATTTCTTAAAATCTGATGTTTAAAAAATAAACTACTTGACATAGGGCCGTAATATTTCAGTATGTCCATAAGACTGATAACTAACTTAAAATCGAATCGAAGGCGAATCTTTATAAAAAAACTAATCAAGTCGATTCCAACCAATATTTTTTTTGACTGAAACGTGGACGAATTTTTTTCACTTTTTTGCGTTTTACGAAGAGAACGGCTCAGCCAATCGTCGCGTAAAATTAACAAACGCTAGTCCTTATTGAGTTACATCGAATAATTTTTAAATTTTTTAAATCGGTTCAGCCGTTTTTGAGAAAACGTCGACGAAGGTCAAATTCGTCGACAAAAGGTCCAAAATCGATCTTATTCGGTTCAGAATTGCTTAAAACGTCGAGAAAATATAAAATTAGCAAATCTGATTTCTGATGAAAACATAAACCTCTCCTTCGAGAAGTTTTGAATTTATTATTCAATATCCAAGTCTACATTTTTTGTTGCTATAAATAAGAAAATTTTCACTTCACTGTATTTTTAATAGTTGAGAATATCAGATAGATAAATCTTCATCTATTTAAGTTCAATTTTAGTTTAATTTCCGAAAACTATTATTAAAATGTTGTACGGAAATTGCTGATATAAAATAAATTACTATAAAATACATATGTATGTATATATATATATATATAATATATATATATATAAGCAAATTAGAGCATATGAAATTATTAATGTTTATTCTACTTGTTTAAGTATACACTTTGGTATCCCTTATAAATAAATAAAATAGATAAATTACAATTAATATTAAATTATATATATTTTAGTATTTCATAAAAAATTAAGTACGAATAATGCCACAATTTCTTGGTAATATAATAGATTTTATAAATACTAACTTATAAACAAAATATTTCTATTATTTTTA